TTGTATTATTATTATTATTTTTTAGTAGAGATGGAGTTTCACCATGTTGGCCAGGCTGGTATTGAACTCCTGGCCTCAAGTGACCTGCTTGCCTCAGCCTCCCAAAGTGCTGGGATTATAGGCGTGAGCCACCATCCCCGACACCTCTAATTTTTTTTTTTTTTTGAGAAGGAGTCTTGCTTTTGTTGCCTAGGCTAGAGTGCAATCGTGCGATCTCAGCTCACTGCAACCTCCGTCTCCCGGGTTTAAGCGATTCTCCTGCCTCAGCCTCCCAAGTAGCTGGGACTACAGGCGCATGCCACCATGCTCGTCTAAGTTTTTGTATTTTTAGTAGAGGCAGGGTTTCACCATGTTGGTCAGGCTGGTCTCAATCTCCTGACCTCAGGTGATCCACCCACCTTGGTCTCCCAAAGTGCTGGGATTACAGGTGTGAGCCACCGCACCCAGCCAGCACCTCTAGTTTTCACGCTCTAATATGATTAGCACACGGCCTCATGATCCAAGCTGGTTGCTTGAGCTCCAGACTGCACATCCATATTCTACCCAACAGGAAATAGAAAGGAGCAAAAAAGAGTTCCCATAATCCTTTTTAGAGGACATTTTCTGGACAATGCACACAATTGTTTTGATTGCAACTCCTTGTTCCAGGACAATTTCTTTTTTTTTGTTTTTTTGTGTTTTGTTTTTTGTTTTTGAGACAGAGTTTTACTTCTTGTTGCCCAGGCTGGAGTGCAATGGTGCGATCTTGGCTCACTGCAACCTCTGCCTCCCAGGTTCAACCGATTATCCTGCCTCAGCCTCCGGAGTAGCTGGGATTACAGGCATGCACCACCACGCTCGGCTAATTTTGTATTTTTAGTAGAGACGGGGTTTCTCCATGTTGGTCAGGCTGGTCTTGAACTCCTGACCTCATGTGATCTGCCTGCCTCGGCTTCCCAAAGTGCTGGGATTACCAGCGTGAGCCACCGTGCCCAGCCTGTTCCAGGACAATTTCTAACTGCAAGAGAGGCTGTGAATTGCAGTCTGGGCAGTCATGTTCCATCTGAAAATCAAGGAGAGAGAGAATGGATATTGGGGTATGTAACAAATCTGTGTCCCAATGCAAGATAAAAAGAATCAGTAAGAAAAATCTTGCAATTATGACTGAAGTGACAGTACTGAGATCACCTAGTAGCATAAAGGATACTAGATTTGGAGGTGGGTGGTCTAGGACACGTGAGCAGAGACAGGAGATGTTTTCAAAGAGCAGAAGAAAATGGGAACAACCCTAAGGATGCCCTGGAAGGTAGGAACGAAAGACAGGTGAGAGTTCTGGGTCAGAGCTGTAATTCAGTGATTAAGACTTTAGAAAAGCTGGGTGAGGTGATTCACGCCTGTAATCCAGGTACTTTGGGAGGCTGAGGCAGGAGGATTGCTTGAGCCCAGGAGTTCAAGAACAGCCTGGGCAACATGGCAACCCTGTCTCTACAAAAAATACAAAAATCAACCGGGCATGGTGGCATGTGCCTAGTCCCAGTTATTTGGGAGGCTGAGGCAGGAGGATTGCTTGAGACTGGGAGGTGAAAGGTGCAGTGAGCTGAGATCACACCAATGCACTCCAGCCTGGGCAACAGAGTTAGACCCTGTCTCATTAAAAAACAAACAAACGGGCCGGGCGCGGTGGCTCAAGCCTGTAATCCCAGCACTTTGGGAGGCCGAGACGGGCGGATCACGAGGTCAGGAGATCGAGACCATCCTGGCTAACACAATGAAACCCCGTCTCTACTAAAAATACAAAAAAATTAGCCGGGCGAGGTGGCGGGCGCCTGTAGTCCCAGCTACTCGGGAGGCTGAGGCAGGAGAATGGCGTAAACCCGGGAGGCGGAGCTTGCAGTGAGCCGAGATAGCGCCACTGCACTCCAGCCTGGGCGACAGAGCGAGACTCCGTCTCAAAAACAAACAAACAAACAAACAAACAAACAAATGAAAAACTGTAGCTGAATAAAGAGAAAGGGAAGAGAAGGAAAACAAGGATACATAAGAGACAACGAAGAAAGTGGCCAGGTGCGGTGGCTTATGCCTGTAGTCCCAGTACTTTGGGAGGCCAAGGTGGGCGGATCAACTGAGGTCAGGAGTTTGAGACTAGCCTGGACAACATGGTGAAACCCCATCTATACTAAAATTACAAAAATTAGCTGGGCATGGTGGTGCACGCCTTTAGTCCCAGCTACTTGGGAGGCTGAGGTGGGAGAATTGCTGGAACCCAGGAGGCGGAGGTTGCAGTGAGCCAAGATCACGTTACTGCACTGCAGTAACTGGCGACAGAGGGACACTCTGTCTCAAAAACACAAAAAGATTAGGAAACAAAAAGAAGTTAGAAGGAGCCAAAAAAAAAAAAAAAAAAAAAAGAAGCCAGAAAGAAAGAGAGGATCCAGTGAGGGACAGACTGGGAATAACAGGAGGCTCAGTTGCAGCCCTGCTCTGCTCTGCTTGATGCTGGCTCTTTGGTCCCTGGAACTGTGGCCTCTCACTTTGTAAGAATTCCGGTGAGGATAGTTTTATTTGGTGTAAAGAACCATCATCCACTTCCAATCATCATTTGTAGTGTTGGAAACTCTCCCGACGTCACATAAAGCCTTTAGATAACTAAATGAGGTGAGCAAACATGGTACAACGGCCAGAAAAAAAAAATTAGGCTGCATTTAAAAGAAATCCAACTGTGTGCAGATACGAATGTTAATAACGACTGATAAATCAACCCACAGCTTTGCTGCTGTCTTCTGAGACACCGAAGCTATTATGGGAAGGTTTACTGTGGCTCTGACGAGGTCTGGCGAATACTGTGAAAACTGGTCACGAGGCTTTTGAGTCAACAGATTTTTTTTTTAAAGGAGTTCTTTAAAAAACTGCCTTACATGCCATAAACAGTTGGCTCCCTTCTTGTGAGGCTAATCTTTACCTTTGGTCAAGACTATGGAAGGTCTATTGTTGTGGCTCTGATGAGGTTTGGTGAAAACAGTGACAGGTGCTTACCAGGCTTTTGAGTCAATAGATTTTTCTTTTTTTTTCTAACTTTTAAGTTCTGGGGTACAAGTGCAGGTTTGTTACTAGGTAAACTTGTGTCATGGGGTTTTGTTGTACATATTATTTTGTTACCCAAGTATTAAGCCTACTACTCATTAGTTATTTTTCCTGATCCTCTCCTTCCTCCCACCCTCCACCCCTCAAAAGTCCCCAGTGTGTGCTGTTCCCCTCTATGTGTCTGTGTGTTCTCATCATGTAGCTCCCACTTATAAGTGAGAACATGCGGTACTTGGTTTTCTGTTCCTATGTAAGTTTGCTAAGGATAATGGCCTCCAGTTCCATCCATGTCCCTGCAAAGGTCATGATCTTGTTCTTTTTCATGGCTATAATATCTTTGCTTTTTTAGGCTCCTTAAACAAACTGTCTTGCATCCAATAAATACTTGGCTCCCTTCTTGTGCAGAGAATCATAAAGGATATTTTTACCTTTTGGTTAAGCCTATGGGGCAAAGAGATGAGTTAGGGTAAAACATGCACCTGAAGGTTCTGAGGTTTGCTCAAAGCACTTCATTTATAGTTAAAAAAAAAAGTTTACATTAAAGCATCCTTGAGTTGGAAGGGACCCTTTTCTTTGGGTATAAATATTTCTTTTACTTTACATTTTTTTTTTTTGAGACAGAGCCTTGCTTTGTCGCCCAGGCTGGAGTGCAGTGGTGCAATCTTGGCTCACTGCAACCTCTGCTTCCTGGGTTCAAGCTACTCTCATGCCTCAGTCTCCCAAGTAGCTGGGATTACATACAGGTGCATACTACCACATCCAAATAATTTTGGTACTTTTATTTTTTTGAGACAGAGTTTCACTCTTGTTGCCCAGGCAGGAGTGCAATGGTGCGACCTCAGCTCACTGCAACCTCCGCCTCCCCGGTTCAACCGATTTTCTTGCCTCAGCCTCCTGAGTAGCTGGGATTACAGGCATATGCCACCACGTCTGCCTAATTTTGTAGTTTTAGTAGAGATGGGGTTTCTCCATGTTGGTCAGGCTGGAGTTTCAGTGGCTCACTGCAACCTCTGTCTATTGGGTTCAAGCAATTCTCCTGCCTCAGCCTCCCGAGTAGCTGGAATTACAAGCATCTGTCACCATGCTCAGCTAATTTTGTATTTTCAGTAGAGGTTTAGTAGGTTTTCGCCATGTTGGCCAGGCTGGTCTCAAACTCCTGACCTCAGGTGATCCACCTACCTTGGCCTCCCAAAGTGCTGGGATTACAGGTGTGAGCCACCGCGCCTGGCCGATTTTTGTATTTTTGGTAGAGATGGGGTTTCACCATGTTGGCCAGACTGGTCTCGAACGCCTAACCTCAGGTAATCCACCCGCCTCGGTCTCCCAAAGTGCTGAGATCACAGGCGTGAGCCACTGCACCCGGCCGGGTATAAATATTTCTACAGCAGGCTGGAGAGACTGGAGTTTGCTTTGTTTACAGAAATCTGTTCCACCCTACTCATGAGAATTTCACGATTGTAGACACTTGCCTGTGCCAATAATTTCAAAATCTAAACCTGGTGGGGTTTTTGCAAGTTTTGCAAAATATTTTGCAAATCTGGATCTGAGTGCCTTTGAGTGGTTTAGGCTGAGACAGTAGGGGCTGCGGCCTAGGACCTGTAGTCACTCCCAGGACATGACTCCCCTGAGTCCTCAAATGGTTCTTTAGAGCACAGACAGGAGACCAAGATGTTAAGCAAAGCAGTGAAAACGCAATAAGAATGTTCTGGTGTCTCTGAGTGTAGACCCGAGCATTGTGATCAAACAAACTGCTTGGCCTATTAAAAACACACTGGAAGCAACATTTTTGTTTCACAACGTATGAGAGGGCAGGTTGCCAAGTACTTGGTTATAATGTGAAATCCGTAAAAATAAATCCTGCCCTTTGTCACTTTCTTCATACTGGATTAACCCTATAGCATCAGAAATGGCACAAGAGAATTATGTACTTAAGTCATTAGTACTTGGAATTCGCCTTCTTTGCAGTGACTTTTTGTAAAAATGACAAATCAGTTTTCAGTTCCAGTTTTCTCTTCTGTGTGTAACTGGCCCATAGGTAGAAAGTGTCAGAAACCTTAGTGAATTTTTCTACTGAAGAGGTACCTGCTGGAGACAAAAATTAAAGTTAAATTAACTAGAACAGAAAATGCCTAAGGGTTATTTTCTTCCTTTAAAGTGAAATTTGACTTACAATTAAAACACACTTTGTTTTGTAAGAAGAAAGATGTTAGGGGATACTTTTTTTTTTTCCTAGCTGGTTCTCAGCCAAAATCTTCATCACTTGCTCTCCTTCCTTCCCTCCCTCCTTCTTTTTTCTTTTTCTTTTTTTTTTTGAGACAGAGTCTCGCTCTGTCCCCCACGCTGGAGTGCAGTGGCGTGATCCCGGCTCACTGCAACCTCCGCCTCCCGGGTTCAAGCAATTCTCCCGTCTCAGCCTCCCAAATAGCTGGGATTACAGACATGTGCCATCATGCCCGGCTAATTTTTTTTTTTTTTTTGTATTTTTAGTAGAGACAGGGTTTCACCATAGTGGCCAGGCTGGTCCCAAACTCCTGACCTTGTGATCCATCCGCCTCGGCCTCCCAAAGTGCTGGGATTATAGGCGTGAGCCACCACGCCTGGCCTTTCTTTCCTTCTTTTTATCTGTCTTTCCCTCCCTTCTTCCCTCTATCCCTCCTTCCCTCTACACCTCCTTCCCTCTCTCTCTTATTTTTTTGAGAGTCTTGCTCTGTCACCCAGGCTGGAGGAGTGCAGTGGCGAGATCTTGGCTCACTGCAACCTTTGCCTCCTGGGTTCAAGCCATTCTCCTGCTTCATCCTCCCGAGTAGATGTGACTGTAGGCACCTGCCACCACGCCCAGCTAATTTGTGTATTTTTAATAGAGACGGGGTTTCACCTTGTTGGCCAGGCTGGTCTTGAACTCCGGACCTCAGGTGATCCACCTGCCTCTGCCTCCCAAAGTGCTGGGATTACAGGCGTGAGTCACTACACCCGACCCTCTTTCTTTCTTTCGTTAGAAGAGTGAAATCCTTACTTATTGAGGTGAAGGAAATTTAGACCATGTAGTCCAGTGTTTCCCTCTGATGGATAAGAAGCGCCAGATTCAGTAATTAGCCAAAGGTCTTGTGGTGGAACAACGTCTAAGTCACCTCTAAACATGGTGCTTTCTGCTTTCCCACGACATCTTAACACCTCTGAAGACCAGGCTCACCATGTGAGAATTCGTCACCGAACTCTGTGCTTCCCGAGGTCTTTGTTGAATGAAAAGCTCCACTCCGAACCTTCGCTGATGTAGAAATAGGAAGTTGGTCTTGTGGAGTCTAAGTATCATTCGAGTTGCAGTAGGACCTAGCATGAAAATGTCCTCAGACATAATATCCTATTTTAGTACTGATATCCTGTAGATTAATCACAAATGCCAAACACTGGCTACCAGGGGGTTTCTGATTTGTTTTGTTTGCTTGTTTGATATTAGTTATCAATTGGAACATGGGAGATAAAAGGTAGGAAGAAAATAAGTGGGTATCTAACATTCTCTGTTTTAAAACCGTTGAAGTAGTAAGAGCTAATTTTCTGTAGACTTACTCTATCCAAGCAGAGGTTTGAGAAGCCTGTAATCCCACAGTCCCTGGGAAGGCGATTGTTTTTATTTTTTGAGATGAAGCCTCACTCTGTTGCCCAGCCTGGAGTGCAGTGGTGCCATCTCGGCTCACTGCAACCTCCACCTCTTGGGTTCAAGTAATTCTCCTGCCTCAGCCTCCTGAGGAGCTGGCACTATAGGCACGCGCCACCACGCCCAGCTAATTTTTGTATTTTTAGTAGAGACGGGGTTTCACTATGTCAGCCAGGATGGTCTTGAACTCCTGACCTCGTGATTCACCCGCCTCGGCCTCCCAAAGTGCTGGGATTACAGGCGTGAGCCACTGCGCTCGGCCCATGGGAAGGCTATTTTATTATCCCTGGTTCACAGCCAAAGAAACTGTAGGGGAGGCTGGGCGCGGTGGCTCAAGCCTGTAATCCCAGCACTTTGGGAGGCCGAGACGGGCGGATCACAAGGTCAGGAAATCGAGATCATCCTGGCTAACACGGTGAAACCCCGTCTCTACTAAAAAACATACAAAAAACTAGCCGGGTGAGGTGGCGGGCGCCTGTAGTCCCAGCTACTCGGGAGGCTAAGGCATGAGAATGGCGTAAACCCGGGAGGCGGAGCTTGCAGTGAGCTGGGATCCGGCCACTGCACTCCAGCCTGGGCGACAGAGCAAGACTCCGTCTCAAAAAAAAAAAAAAAAAAAAAAAAAGAAACTGTAGGGGAGAAAGGTCGAGGAGCTTGCCTGGGATCAGACAGGTCAGAGGACAGTGCGACCCAGGGTTTGTGCTTCCCTTACAGGCAATGGGACTCCAGGAACAATATATGTTAAGTCTCTAGACCTGTCTTCAGAGGGCCGCCTTCTGTCTTCAGGCTGCCTTCTTTCTCTTCTGCGGTTCTGAGGCCTTTGTTTCCTTCCTGCTCTGCTGACTCAGGACCCCAGGAAGCCTGGCTTCCTGTCATGGACTGTTCGAGGAAGGCCTGCGGGGCTGCAGAGTCAGCAGAGGGTGCTCCGTGGGAGAGCCTGCAGAGGCCAGAGAGCCAGGGGCCAAGGCTGAGCCATGCAGGCGCCTGTGCACACACACACATACTCACACACACATACACTCACATACTTTCATGTTCACACACAAACACAAGCATGTTTGCACACACACACGTTGACACAGACGTAAACATTCACACACACTCATCTACACACAAATACACATTCACACATACATGCATTCACACTCATGCATTCACACACTCATACTCTCACACTCACACGTACACACACACACAGAGAACACATTGTGACTAGGAGAGAGAAGGAAAAGTAGGAGATTCAAAAGTGAACTGAGAAGCCAAAAATAGCCACTGGATATGTTTGGGAGGCCAGAAATGCTGCAAACTTCTACTACTCTACTTCCTTTTAGAAAGGTTCCTGCTTTCATTAGGAAGGAGAAAATACACAGTTGCTTCTTTGTTAAACATACCCACTGAGCTTAAATTTTTATTTTTATTTATTTTTTTGAGACAGAGTCTTGCTGTGTCGCCCAGGCTGAAGTGCAGTTGCTCCATCTTGGCTCACTGAAGCGATTCTCCTGCCTCAGCCTCCCTAGTAGCTGAGACTACAGGTGCGCACCACCACACCTGGCTAGTTTTTTGTATTTCTAGTAGAGACGGGGTTTCACTATGTTAATCAGGATGGTTTCGATCTCCTGACCTTGTGATCCTCCTGCGTTGGCCTCCCAAAGTGTTGGGGTTACATGCGTGAGCCACTGTGCCCAGCTAAATTTTTATTTATTTATTGAGACAGAGTGTCACTGTCACCCAGGCTGGAGTGCAGTGGTGCAATCTTGGCTCACTGCAACCTCTGCCTCTGGGGTTCAAGTAATTCTTTGCCTCAGCTTCTTGTGTAGCTGGGATTACAGGCGCCTGTGATCACGCCCGGCTAATTTTTGTATTTTTAGTAGAGACAGGGTTTCATCATATTGGCCAGGTCTTGAACTCCTGACCTCATAATCCACCTGCCTCGGCCTCCCAAAGTCTGGGATTACAGGTGTGAGCCACTGTGCCAGTCTGTTTCCTTTTAGCCTTTTCTTATTGTGAAATATAACACTCTACAGAAAAGTTTATGAAACAGAGATAGCTCACTGTTTTATCACACAGCAAAGAGCCAGGTCACAAATCATCAGGTCAAGAAATGTACCATCATGAGCAACTCGAACCCTCACTCATGCTTCCCACCTCGTTTTGGACGCAACCACGGTCCTAAATTTTATGGCAGTTGTCTCCTTGCTAAGCTTGCGTCTGTCAATGCTGTAATTTTGTTTGCCTTTTGCTTTTTGAGACGGGGTCTTGCTCTGTTGTCCAGGCTGGAGTGCAGTGGCATGATCTCAGATCTCTGCAGCCTCCACCTCCTGGTTTCAAGCAATTCTCCTGCGTCAGCCTCCTAAGTAGCTGGATTACAGGTGTGTGCCACCGTGCCTGGCTAATTTTTGTATTTTTAGTAGAGATGGGGTTTTGCCATGTTGACCATGCTGGGCTTGAACCCCTGGCCTCAAGTGATCCACCCGTCTAGGACTCCCAAAGTGCTGGGATTACAGGCATGAGCCACCATTCCTTGCCTGCTGTGGGGGTAATTCATGGTATGAATGTTGAAGTTTGCTCATTTCACTGCTGAAGTACATCTGCCCCAGCTTTTGGCTATTATGATTCATATTGCTACAAATGCTTATAGAATATTCTAATACACATACGTCTTTTGAGGCACAAGTTCATATACTTCCTGGAGTGAAACTGCTGGGTTATAGAGGATGTTCAACGTCAGTAGATACTGCCAAACAGTTTTCCAAAGTGGTTTTATCAATCCAAACTTGACCCAGCTGTATCTGAGATTCCATTGCTCTATATCCTAACCCCCTCTCTGTATTGTCAGCCTTTTTAATTTTAGCCCTTCTGCTGGGTGTGTGCTGCTATCTCATCACGATTTTAATTTGTATTTATTTGCTTATGAGTGAGGTTAAGCAGTTTCAAACACCTTTATCAGTCATTTGGGTATCTCTTCTGATGCATTGCCTTTTAATGGCTTTTATCTGGTTTTCTTTTGGGTTCTTTTTTTTCCTTATTGATATGTAAGAATCCTTTACATGCTCTAAGTCCTTTGTTATTCGTGCTGTAAATATCCTTTTCCACTTGTGACATGACATTGCACTCTTTTAATAATCTTTTGTAGTGTACACAATTTCTTAATTTTAATGTAGTCAAATTTATTAATTTGTTTCTTCTTTTTGGTTATTGATTTTTGTGTCCTATTTAATAATTCTTTCCTACCTTCAGGTCACAAAGATATTTTAATATTATCTCCTAGTTCTGTGGTACCCAATATGGCAGCCATCTGTGACTACTTAAACAGAAATGAATTAAAATGAAACAAAAGCCAGGAGCGGTGGTGCAGACCTGTAATCCCAGCACTTTGGGAGGCCATGGCAGGGCGGTGGAGGGCGAATCACAAGGTTAAGAGATCGAAACCATCCTGGCCAACATGGTGAAACTCCGTCTCTACCAAAAATACAAAAATTAGCTGGGTGTGGTGGTGCGTGCCTGTGGTCCCAGCTACTCAGGAGGCTGAGATAGGAGAATCGCTTGAACCCGGGTCGTGGAGGTTGCAGAGAGCTGAGATTGCACCACTGCACTCCAGCCTAGCGACAGAGCAAGACTGTCTCTAAATAAATAAATAAATACTTCCTCAGTTGCCTTATTAAAGCACAGATCATAGAATACTTTCATTTTATCTTGGTTTGTACTGTTTGAGGAGATTTATTGTTTTTTCTTACACATTTAAATCTACAACCCACCTGGAATTAATTTTTCTTTGTGGAGGTTAGATTTCTTTCTCTTTTTTTTTGGAGACAAGGTCTCACTCTTTTGCTCTGGCTGGAGTGCAGAGCAGTGATCTCTGCTTACTGCAACCTCCGCCTCCCGGGTTCAAGCAATTCTCCTGCCTCAGCCTCCATTGTAGCTGGGACCACAGGCACACACCACCACGCCCAGCTAATTTTTTGTATGTTTAGTAGAGACGAGGTTTCACCAAAAGTTAGCTGGGCATAGTGGCACATGCCTGTAAGCCCAGCTACTTGGGAAGCTAAGGCATGAGAATCACTTGAACCTGGGAGGCGGAGGCTGCAGTGAGCCAAGATCGCACCACTGCATTCCAGCCTGGGCAACACAGGGAAACTGTGTTTCAAAAAAAAAAAAAAAAAAAAAAAAAAGCTGGGCATGGTGGCTCATGCTAGTAATACCAGCACTTTGGGAGGCCGAAGCAGGCGGTGGAACACGAGGTCAGGAGATCAAGACCATCCTGGCTAAATGGTGAAACCCCGTCTCTACTAAAAATACAAAAAATTAGCCAGGGATAGTGGCACGCGCCTGTAGTCTCAGCTACTTGGGAGGCTGAGTCAGGAGAATCCCCTGAACCCGGGAGGCAGAGGTTACAGTGAGCCGAGATCACACCACTGCACTCCAGCCTGGGTGACAGAGTGAGATTCCATCTCCATAAAGAAAAAAAAAAAAAAGACTTACCAGGGGCTTAATTTTATTAGGCTTCTCAAATAATTAACTTTAGCCTATGTTTTCATTTCTCTGTGCTTAATTAGCTGTTCTTTTTCTAATTTCTCAACAAGAGTACTTTGTTTATTCTTCTTTCAGTCTCTCTTATTTTCTAATACAGGCATTAAAAATACTTAATTTAAAACTTTCCATTGAGGATGTAATATTTTTATGAACTATAAGTTTAAAATATTTTCTAATTTCCATTGTGATTTTTAAAAAAATCTGTGAGTTATTTACAAGTATATATATAGTTTCTGAACATGTAGATATTTCCTACTTAATTTTAAAAATTCTTATTTTCGGCCGGGCGCGGTGGCTCAAGCCTGTAATCCCAGCACTTTGGGAGGCCGAGGCGGGTGGATCACGAGGTCAGGAGATCGAGACTATCCTGGCTAACATGGTGAAACCCCGTCTCTACTAAAAATACAAAAAACTAGCCGGGCGTGGTGGCGGGCGCCTGTAGTCTCAGCTACTTGGGAGGCTGAGG